AGGTTTTTTTATGCCTTGTTACACAAGACATGCCTTTTTAGCTTAACTTAATGAAAACTGCAGATAGTTTCTGTGAGAAAGATGCGTCACATCCGAATGGAGCCATCCCCGTGTGCCATTGCAGATGGCTTATTTTTAGTGTGTCATGCAATTCTTTTATTTCTAGATGGATTAACTCCTTTAGAAGCAAAACTCATGTTTCAAAGCATCTTTGGTGCAATTTTTACCCAGCTAACTAGCTGAAAAACATTTATCTTGGTTCTCATTTTGTATGAGTAGTAAGGGCTTTGTGGTTTACTAGACAAACTACTGTGCTTAGATCAGTGCAATAAATGGGCACTATCTGACTGAGAGCAGGCATTTTTAGATACAGATTTGGGATTGTAGACATTAACACACCCACCCAGAAGTGCTCTTTTGCTGTTTGTTTGTGACCTGGAGGGAGAACACCAGGCAGTTATCAGTTTTAGTCTGCTGATACTTGCTACAGCAGCACTAGAAAAAACGCCCTCAATTCAGACCCAGTTTATTCTGAGAGCCAAGGTGAAAGCTTAAGACTCAGAGGCAAAGTTAAGTGCAAGAGAAAGGCACGTATGGCTGATTCCTAACACCCTCTAATTTCAGAGGCTGGGCATCTCTTCAGACCAAGTGACTGGTCAGCACCAGTGAAAGGAAGTTTCCCATCTATAAAAATGAAAGAAATTGCACCCTCTTGTGGTACCTCTGCTTTTAATGAAGTCTCGATTTTTTCCCAACGCACCACTTAACAAACAAAGAGCTTTTCTAATATACCCATCATTAAAAACAGATTTATGCTCGCTTTTTTTTCAGAGACCATAAAACTAGATCAGGGCACTGTACAGTGATGGAAAAGCAGCTCCACCCTGTCACAAACAGATATGAATAGACCTTCAAATAAGAAAAATAATTGGGTGACATTTTCAAGTGTGAGTGCTGAAAAGGCTGGACTCTAATTTTCAGATCTGCTTGTCAGCATTTATAGCATGCTTTCGAAGTGGCTGGCACTAACAGAACATTGTGCTTAACATTTAAAAACTGTTCTCTCAGGGAAGCCTATGTAGGCACCTTGGATTTTGGAAGTCTTTTCCAAACAAAGTAGCATGTTCTTAATTACAGGCAGTTCATGCTTCTTCAAATAAGGTCAGGGTATTTCTCACTCTTTGCTCTAGTAACAGTAATATTTCCTTCCCCTAACTTTTTAATATATTTGCCTTTCGCTTTTACTTATAGCAAAACAAAGTATTTCCACAGTTCAAATGACACTGAAAGAACAAAGCGACCATTTAAATTAACATGCCATTAATCTTCTGAATGACAGGTGCAGTTTTCACCACTGGAATTCAGTACTTGAGTCTCTTAAGTCCTAACTAGCTGGCGCTTGAACGTTGCAATCCCCACTCATGTCCTCTGTGAGATGGCACCTCTTTACCTCCACATTAACTGGAAATCATTACCACCTAAAGCTAGTTGTACTTTGCAGACCTAGGGTTCGTGAGAAACTCCTGTTTCCAAGAAAGGGGCAGCTGGCAGTACGTGGATGAACACAGCGAGATGTTAAAGATACACCATTTTTTTTCAGAATGCTGATCTGAAGGTAATGCCGAGCATCTGCTTTTCTCTCAGAATCTCAGAAGAGGGAGTTTGCCTGCGCCTTGCTCCATCTCAGAGCAGGACAGATACAGCCAAAAAAACCTGAAAAAACTGCACCTCTAAACAAGCAAGTAGAAGCTAAGAAGCCATTACTTTCACTGGAAAGTGCAGGTGAAATCTTCAGGAACACAACTTCTTATAGGTGTCTCTCCCTCTAAACTCTTCCTGCTCACTTTTTATTTAGAAAATGAAGGTTGCAAGACTCCTTGGAAGCTTTTCTGATGTCTGATTTGTTTTCCTCAACACAGAACCAGGCTTGCGTACTTAGCTGGACAGAACTGTTGCAACTTACTATTTCTTAAACCTTTGCCACCGTGCCGCATCTCTGAACTTTGCGACACTAAACCCACAAGGGCTTGCAGGAGTGGCTGGCTTTTTTCCCTGCTGCAGGGAAAGCCTGCTGTGTTGCTGCTGGCCTGTTCATGCGCAGCTGCAGGAGTGCACAAATGGCTTAAAAAGAATACTGAACTTGCATTCACAGGGCTGCGTGTGGACCCCAGCTCCACAATTTGAGACAGTTCCAGATACTGCACAGAAGGTTGTTTTAAAGTTAATCAGTTCAGGAAACTCTCACCTGCTATTCTGAAAGGCAAAAAAGCATTATTTCTGTTCACATATCTTGTGCATCACAAATTAGAAGATTAAGATGTCAGTCATCCAAATGCTAACCACATAAAACCACTCTCCAATTTTTATGATGCTGTGCACATGTACAGTGGAAGGAAAAGATCAGAGAACAATCCCTGTATGTAAGTTCCATTTACCCACCCAAACACAGTCCTGCAACATTTCATTTGCTTTAGGTTATTTAGATGCAAGTTTTCTGTCCATATTTTGAAATACATTTAGCAAAGTCAACAAAAACTAAAGAAGAAACACCTGGAGTCAGAACTTGCTTTTCCTGCCTCTGCCATGAGCACAAATTATCTACAGAAGGTACATGCACTACACATCCTAAAGACTATGTGCGACTTAAAGACTTGTAATGTGCTGTGTAAAAAAAAAACCTGCTACAGCATAAGCACTTTGCAATGCTATGAGGAAATAAAAATGAAATGTCAGATCCCAATAGCAGTATCCATTCATACATTAAACACAGGAAGGGGAGAGTCTCCTTAAACTAGCATGGGTTATCTGTGAAGGCACAGGAACAGACCCAGCTGCCTGCCAGCTCAGCTCCAGATCGAGGTGGTTATTTTATTACGCAGGCACTGAACCAAGAAGGGAATTGGACAGACCACGTCCTTTACAAAACTAACCGTCTTGCTGCCACGTGCCCAGTGGTACTGTAACAGCGCTTCATCTGCAGGTGCGCATTTTACAACTTTTAAACAGCATCTGTCAGTTCACCCTGTCATGGCTTTCAACTTTTTTCTTTTTGCAGCAGTTACTTTCTCAAGCAGCAGTTCGATGATCAGGCAGTGCAGTTTTGTAGACAATCCTATCAGATCATTTGGCTCAATGTAGGGTAAAAGAAGAAAGCGGGGAGATAAAAAGACAAGCTTCAGGCACACATGCCCTTCTGGCCCAAACTTCAAGCAACACTTTTCAAACATGAGTTATCCAGCTGCTCACAGTTAAATACAAGTTTGCTTCTGAAAGAAGAGGTAGAGGATACTTCTGAAGAGAGAATTTTAAACAGAGGCAGGAAAAGGGGCAATGAGTATCAGGGATAAACAGGAACGTTATAATATGCTATTAAACCAACAACTGTGATCATTCTTTTACAATTAAAGATGTAATAAAAAGTCTACCCTACCTGTAAACCTTATTCTATTTACTGTGTTTTCCGACAAAACTAAAACTCCTCCTATGCAAAAGGCGTCTCAGTGTTTTACCACTACTTACAAGGAAGTCAGTAATTGTTGTTGACAATAGTTACAATATCTATTGTACTTCAAGAAGAAAATTAGCTCAAGGGCTCATTGTAGAGTTTAGGTCAACCTTCCATCTCTTGTTGAGCTGGAATAAAATTTGACTTCAAATGTAGTATCTCATAGTTTGTAATGTGCAACTGAAATACTTACATAGGTGAACTGAATGTTGTCTCAAGAAAGTTTTCATGCTAGTTACGTTCATTGTTTTAGTGTCTTGGTAAAGCTTGGTAAAAATTATCCCCCTCCCCACCTCATCCCCACCCTTTCGGCTGTTATGGATTGTACTCTTAAAAGGACCCGTCTTCCAAATAGTAAGGGGTCTTACTTTCTTTTAAAGTGAGGTCCTAATAAGGCACACTATAAAGTTAAATTAGTTACTTTGAAGATCCTCATAAAATAAATAGCAATTGTGAAAATAACTGTAAAAAGGTAGCGATTATTCTACAGAAACTACTTGCTATCTGCCACTTCCCTATCACAGTCTTGTACTCAGTGCAATGAAAGCTACCCATCCAACAGAAGTCAGCGTGAAGGTATGATGATGGGTCTGATCACTGGCTAGGAAATAAAAGTAGGAATAATTTTGTACCCAAATGCTAGGTATTTTTAGAGTTTTTGTTTATATTAAGTTCATCTTACCAGTAGATTCTTTTGTTCCGATACCCCCACTTTACCTAAGCTAGTAGTCTCAACATCATATGCCTCTTGCTCTCTTTCTTCCACCTCACACTCCAGGAGTTGTTTACTAATCTTAGCCAAGAGCTGGTGAATATTCCCTGAGCTTACACTCAAATGCCAACTCTTAAACTGGTGAGTCTTCTTGAACTCTGTGTAATCACCAACTGCAAACACACTGAGGCAAGATGCTTAAAGATTTTTTAATTCATTTATTATCTGTGCACAAGAGAAGTAACTACCAATAAAAACTCAAAAGATATACAGTATTTTTTACATGGTGGTTAAAAGCAATTAGAATACCACATGACCATTGAATTAATGTTTCCAATTACAAATCAGAATACACATTAGAATTTCAGTGGAACAAGCCAAAGAGCCTTAGAAGCAGTTCCAGATCACGAGGCAGCACCCCTTTAATTTACACAATGATAAAGGTAATAATTTACAGTTAATCTTTCTGAATATTGAGACAGTGTTTCAATGCAAGTTTCTGTACAGTTAGATGTAAAGAGATAACCAGAACATTAATTCTAGTATATTTTAACTGAACTTGTTTAAGCATTTTTGCTGAGATGGTTACCAAAGATGCTGGAAGATTCTACACCAAAAACATGTTTTACAACTTTTTCTGCCCCCCTGGCTTTTTTGCGCTACTTATAACCTCATTCTATTGCAATGTGTAAATCTCTAGAAATGAGCTGTCTCCACTGTATATATTGTGTTTATACAAATCAAAGCAAAAAAAGGTAATTACTCAAGTGGTATAAATCTTACAGCGTTTTGCTAGCAAAAAAAATACATGCCGAAATCACAATAAGCAGTATTGGTGCCCACAAATTGTAGCTTCAATTAATTTGTTTCCTTCTTAATTTGTATTCTACATAAATTACTACTGAAGGCTAATGTTTAAGTAGTAAATAAATTGTACAGTTGCAGGTCAGCCAAAACCTGTTCACTCAACTGTGAAAGCTGATAGTTTCAAAAAAATCACAAATAATGCAGAACAAAAGAAGAGTGATGCATGCAACAGAGTGAAAATGCATTGATTCCCACTGTTTGAAGAAAGCTACCGCACTCCACCTTAAAATGCATCAGACCAATTTTAGTTATAACAAGACAACCCTAGGACTGTCATTGTCAGGGTGAAATAAAGCAAATATTTAAAGATTTAAGAGCTGTTATCAAAAATAAATTACATTTTTTCAAGTTAAAGAAACACTGCTATGAAGGCTGAGAGCCAAGCAGCCTTTCAATAGCTGCATTGATGTCTCCTCCTGTTGCTATTAGTGCTTGTAAGTTTGCTTCGCGGTTCAGAAAGCCCATTGCACTCAGCTGTTCCAGTTGTTGCTGAAATCGAACTTCTGGATTTTGCAACTGCTAAGAACAAAATTTCAAGCTATAAAAGCATAACACACATTTAGCAAAGTACAGGATTTAAACATAGTTGGTTCTGCACCACTCTCTCTACTAATTTCTGACTAAATCTTTTTCAACATCCTAAAACTATACTATGTCATAAATTCAATTCACAATTGAATTACTTTTTTAACAAGTCAGAGGAGCTTCAAATTTTAGGAGTATCTAAACTTACATAACATTTGTGATCTACAGCAAAAGCTGCTTGTTTGATAAAAAAGGATTAAAATTCAATTGCGTAAATTCATGTCCCATGAACAATTTCTTAAAGATATGCATATAGGTAATTTTTTTTTAAATGAAACAGAGTCCAACCTAATAATGTGGAACAGCAAGGATTATGATGATGTCACTGTTGGAAATGGTGAACATCACAGGCCTTTTTTCTGCTTGACACAAAAATCATCTCTTTTTTAATGCTCCAAGTATTTGTTGACTGAAGTTACCAAAATTCTAGTTGTTAGAAAGCTTCAGTCTAATGCAAACTGGCAGCTGTGCTGTATGGGATGATCCAGGTCACACAAACTCGTAGCAAAATTCTGAATGATTTCAGTGGTATGCCCTTCAGTTCAGAGGCATTTTTGAATCAGAACATTTGTAGGAAAATAATATGCCGGAGTAATACCGAGAAGTCACTTTTTGAAATCAATTAGTCAATTTAGATACCAACACAAAACTTGCAGAGCTACTGCTAATTTTCCTTTTGTTTTAGTTCAACAGTTTCATACATCAAGGAATTACTACCCGTATTTAAAATCTGCATGTGGTTCCAAACCAATACAATGTCAAGAAGTAACATGAAATTTAAGCACTGTCCCTCACCTGCTTCCCCCAAGCAAAACTAAACAGAATGTTAACTCAGTGGTGTAAGATTTGATAGCATAGTAAGTGAAAAGGTATGAGAATATAGTTTCCTACAGTGACACTGACCAGCACTTCCTCACGGTTAGATAACAAGAGCAAAACGTCCATCAGCTCAGCAAGCTGAACTAACTTAACTCACCCTGTGGCAACAGCGGAGCAAAAAGCAGGACTGCCCCTTCCACCAGCAGTCTGCCATCACACAGAGTATGTATGGTCTAAGGGTGCTGTGTCACACAGCGCTCTTCAGAGTTAACAGCGTGTCTCCCCTAAAGCCAGTCTCGCTCACCCTACAACTACTGGCAAAGCTGCTATCCGTGCATGACTTCTACCTGTGCTTGATTTCTGGAGCTCTCTGGAAACACTTAACGCCACTCAATATGTTACTAAAATGCACTGAAGTCTGGACCTGCAGGACGTCAGTGAAGCCATACAACAAATTCAGGCCCCCAATAACTACAGTGTGGCTATTCCAAAGTGTGGGACAGAGGCTTAGTCACTGCTAGAGGGTAACAACCAGCAATACAGAAAAAAAGCAGAGGTAATGGTGTCCAATATGCTTAAGCTTTTCTCTTGCCTGAGCCCACAGTTCACTTGTCAGTGAACCTTACCTCCTTAATCTGTCCCAATCCTTCCAACCATTGCATAAATTCAAGGGTATGAAGATGAGTGTATAAAAACTAACTCCTCAGAGGACACTACCTCAAATGTTATGTTTTTTTCCAGCATTTACTTGCACAGCTGTAACAGTATTTTTAGGCCTCCTCTGCTCTCCTTTGACCAGAAGTATCCATGGAGCTCACCCCCCCTCAACTATCAGCCTCCCTTCTACTGGTTTACAATGAAAAAAATAAACTTAAAAATTAAAAATTTAGAATATAGTGATGGACTTTACCTGAGCATTTGCACCAGCAAGTGCCTGCAACATCTGTTGGACAAACTGCTGCTGACCAGATTCAGCAGTTCCTGATGCTGGAGTTGTATTTTCACTGGGAACAGAACCAGGTACTGTAGACCCTGCAGGAGCTCCAGCACTTCCCAATCCACCTAAACCAGGATTAAATCTGCATAATTGACAGAAGAAGAAAAACACCACTTGAAAAATAAATATTATCTTGTCTGTTCTCAGTTATTTAATTACCGACTAAAAATCCTGTCAAAGAGTGGGTGACCATTTAAGTAAAGTACTAAGACAAAGGCCAGTCATCACTGTTTCAAAGTGCATGGCAGGCAAAAATGTGACAGATTCTAAAACAATTTTAACAATTTAGTTAAACTAAAAAAGGTAGGAAGAAGTGTCTTTAATAAAAACTGTGTATCTCTACGTGCAAGATGAACAAACAACATAACACAAGAGACTAGTTCTTGCCTAAATTTGTAAGGCTGATTCTTACCCTGGTATAAGCCCCGGTGCTTCTGTCGCTAGCGTTTGCAAGCCCTGCTGAATCTGCAACAAAGCCTGCATTGCTCTAGGGTTTGACATAGCTGATAATGTGTCAGGATTCTGCATCTAAGAAAGAGAGAAATGCTTAATCATATGCAGATGTTCAAAGTTAATCTCACTACATGTTTTATACAGTTCAACAATTTCAGAACTTGTTTTTCAACTTTATAGTTGAATATTTACATTAAAACCTTCAGGTATTTTTTCTTTTTTTGAGACAACTTTCATAGCAGGTGATCAATGAACTCTAGATGTGGACAAAGCCTTTCACACCAGAAGTACACAAGGAAAAGTATTTTTCATTACCTCTTCTAACAGACTTCATCACCTTTCAAAGCCACAGGGCTGTATTAGTTCAACATCATTCTAGAATTAGTCTCCTATATCGTATTACTTGTAACAAACAATGTTGAACACAATGAACTTGACGAACAGGTATCGGAGAAAGTTACACAGTATTTCTTTTTCCTAGCTAAATTCAGACCACAGGAGTTTGAGCATGAGTATTTGTGCATGTTTTCATACCTGCAGTGCCCTCACAGCCTAGAGAAATGCAAACGTATACTCTGGAAAACTTACTAGCAAGCAAATGTATAATATTCAAGGGCTCTCACTCTACTGTGACTTCAATTAAAAACTGTCTCTCACATCCACAGATAATATAATAGGCAAATCCTTTTAATTTCTGACATTAAATGTCCAGAAACCTATTTTAGTTACCAAAACTAACTGCTTACCCTCACCTCCACTTAAGAGATGCCATAGGCAAGTGAAAAGTAATGCGTTTCAGTCACAAGTGACACAGTCTTGGTAGCCAGACCTACTTCAAATAAGCAGACAGGCTTATTAATCTTAGCAAACTTCACATGGCAACTAGACCAAATTCCTTCTGCTGCAAAACCACTTTTGATTCACATAGAAATGCACAGATTAAGGTCAAACTTCCTCTGGTGCAGAGTAGAATATGAAGAACTCCAGTCTGGAATACAGGTGCATAACAAGACTTAAGCACAGCAAGTTGTTCATATTCTCCATTCACCTCTTGGATTTTTATCTTCCTGATAGCTAGAAGTCAGAGAATAACTAAATATGTAGCTGGCAAAGTTGACCCAAATTTAAAACAGGAAAACATTCTGGGTTCTCCAAAGAAAGCTGCTGCAACTACTTTAATAAAATATTTCAATCACAACTTACTGTCTGATATTTGGAGTTCTTTTACAGAAATAGTGGCCCAACAATTCTCAGAGCACTGAGGTGACCTGGATATTGTCTCTATTAATGTTTTAAATTCCAGCTGTTAAATAGCAGCAATTCTTGTTAAGACTTGTATAAAAGCTGCGGATGCAGTAGCTCACAGATGAATTTTCCTAGTTCTGCTGGGCAATCGCCCTTTATTGTAAAAGATGCCTTCCATTATGCAGAGGAACATAACATGTTTTTTATCACCTGATCCCATAATATAAATTCCAGTAGACAATCAAGGAATGAGCTGCAATATTGTCAACATTCTGAGAATACCCAGATATTTCTCCACTTTACTCCACCTGCTAACGCTGCTGATCATCTGACCTAACATAGTGAAGACAAGAGGACTGTGCAGATAAACCCCAAGGTAATACTGACACAAGGAGATACCCAAAGGAAACAGAAATGATTGCCACTGTGCCTTCATTAATTACCATTTATTCACAGATTTCAAAACATGCATGTGGTACTAGTTGTTCAGATACTACTAAGTCATCACCAAGGAGCAGCATTATGAGACACTGCAGCCATTCACGTGGTTGAAACAATATAACTAATTTCTTCTCAACACTGAACTTGCTACCCTAGTTCATGTATGCGTTAATTATTTTACTCAAAACTGCCTGTGTGCAATCAGATTGTGGCAACACACTTACTCTGGTTTGCAAGGACTGCCCAATGGCAGAACTAAGGCACTGGATTAAGTTTTCAACTCCTAAAAAAAAGTCTTACTTGCTCCTATTTAGGCAACACAGTACTATTACACACTGTGGCAGCTAATACAAAGAAAGATACCCAGGCTGCAAGCACAATGCTGTTAAGAAGGGAAGATGGTGGGAGGGCAATCTTTACAGGCAAAAAAACCTGCAGAAGCCACTTCTTTTGAATTAGCTGATGACTTGGGTCTTTCAAGGGATGCTGTCAAGATCTCTTTACCCACATACTTAAGGCAGATTTGTAGAGGTATGAGAAAAGCACAGTGAAACCTTATTCTAGCAGCGGGAAAAGTATTGATCTTTTTAATTTGTGAAAAAAATCATGTTGCAGACAGGTGTTCTCTTGGCTGGTGCTCAGTAAGAACTATTACTCCTTCTAAGCAAAGAAGCAAGGGCAAATCTAAGCAGTTGTGCTATCCACAAACAAAAAAATCCACTAAAAGTCAGATCTAACTTTTGAAAGGGATGGAAACATAAAGCAAGAATTTATTAGCAAGGGACAACCTAACTTGTGTCTAAAGCCAACAAGAATATATTACCGAAACTGGCTTTTAGCCAAATCAAAGGCACCAGTTTATTGAAAACATTGCTCACTGACTTGAAGACATTTATTAACAGCTTCTCATCTTACTTGCTGAAGGAAAGTAGGAAGTTGTTGTCTCATTTGTTCCTGAAGTTGAGGATTTCCAGCAAATAAAGGATTATTCAACATCATCTATAGGACAAAAATATTTAACTTTAAAGATCAAGCAGTAGAAACTGCAGAGTGGTTTAATACAACTACTAACACTGTAACAGTTTATGAAAATAACCTCACAGAATGATAATCATCTACTACTCCTTTTGCAAAAACTTGTTATGAACAACCAGCTGAACACATTGCAGGGGTTTTGTTGATTTTGTTGCTGTTGGTAGTTTTGGTTTTGTTTGCTTGGGCCTTTTTTTTTTATCTTTTAAGTGAATGAATTGCCTGATACTTGCCAAGACAATCTCATCTATATTACAAGAAAATCCTTTTCTGCTCATCCTCCAATATCGTTCCAAGTGATCGTTTCCCTGTAAACATCACCTACAGTCAGGGATATTTTCCAAGTATTTAATACAGAAAAGATAACCTTTTTTTATCTCAGTTCAGCATTTGACTTTGGATATTCATGCTTTAAGTAAAATTTGAAAGCACTTCTAACGATATCATTCATAAAACAGCATCTGCACTTTTACATTGAGCATGGGTGACAAAAGAGAAGTTAAAACCAGAATTACGTCTAGATATCGCACCAATTCCCCTCCCAAGCTAGCGGGGGTATATATTTACTGGCAGATCAACCTTAATTTGCAACCAAAACATTTGTTTTGTCTAACTGACTCTTATACTGGGCCACAAGTTTAGGGCCCTACAAAACATACACAAACTTAAAAAGTTGTTTTAGAAGCATGCCTGGCACGATGTCCAACTACAAATGGCAGAAGCCCACTGCAACAAATTGTTAAATGTAAGGAGGTAATAATTTCAGTGAGTTAGGCATTAACATTAAAAACTGGGCCACTCACTAAAGACAATTGTTGAGACGTTGGCACAAGCGAAAATTTAACTGTATCACAGATTCAACTCTTTTTTGTACTTCAATGCACACAATACATTACTACACCAAACGCATTTACCTGTACCGCAAGATCAGGATTCTGGCTTAATGACTGCATCATGCTTCTCATATAGGGTGCAGACAACATATTCTGCATAAGTTGCGGGTTTTCTGTTATCTGCTGTAATAAACTCTGCATTCCTGGTGTGTTGAACATACCAGCTTAAAAAAAAAAAAAAAGTAAAAGGCCACTTTAGCAAACATCCTGACTATCATCAGATGAATCAGACTACCTAAAACCAGGATATAACCACTAGGTTTCTAACTGTTTTAGTCCCTCAAACACACCTCAGTGTGGTTCTGCTTACACAGATGCATCAACCATAGAAGTTAAGACAGAGGCTGTTATCCAACAAGCAGTCCCACTAAGTATCTACATTATTAGCTGTTTTCACACTTGCCTCCAAACAGGAGAAATACCAACCTTTCATCTAGAGATTCCCTACCTTTATTTTAAGGCAATAGACAAGTGCTATTATCACTCTTAGTTTACTTTTCATGTTTGTTTTTCTGCAGAGGGCTTTTGTAGAACACTTGACTAGTATCAAAGTAAACAGCAGTCAAAATTGAATCAAAAACTCTAATGAAAAAATCATTTCAGCAAACTCCCAAGAATGTGCAAATATATACAGCCACGGTAACAAACACACCTCCTAGTCCAGGTCCCAAATTTGGTACAGTTGAGTTCTGTCCCGTACTGCCAGAGGTGCTATTTCCAGCACTACTACTGCCACCGCTCTCACCACTGGTGCTGGTACTTGTCGTGGAGGTCTGTGAGCTGGACTGAGAAGCCCAGGGATTTGGTAGAGGATCTCTGTTTTCTGTACGAGATGGCTGACTGTCCCCCCCTGTTGATGCATTGCTTACTAAAGAAGCAAAGGGGTTACCTCCAAACTACAGAGGGAAAAAAGCAAACATGTATCATCTACTAAAGCCAACTGTTAAGTCTACTATAAATAGCAAGTTACCTTTCCAAAATCACACATGAAGACAAATGTTGATGGCTCTTGATCAATTATACTCACTATCCTACAGTAATTCATTGTAAATATTTTTAAAAGACACCAACACTGAGAGATACTAGCACCTCCAAAAACATTGAATCACATTTCTTTTTAAAAGCAGTGTTGCTACTACGCTGCTATTTTGATCACAGTAACATTGTATCTTGCATACTGGTTTCCAACTTCAAAGCCTCTTTTTCTTCCCATCTTAGGTTCCGAGCTACTAAACGCACCTTCAGAAAAATTTTCCTGGACCTCACAATATTGAGGGCAAGGAATTACAGGAATTCAAATTTAAGTAATACAGAAAATCATTAACTTTAAAATAGCTTCTCAAACACACAAAGCTCTATGTGTATTTCTTCAAGCTTAGAAGAGTACAGAATTTTTAAATATTGTTCCTCTCAAGAGTAAGGAGCCACACAGCAACTTCAAGCTTCAAGAAATATTTTGTCAAGTACATATTTGGAAATTTACATTACTTACACGATTTTATTTAAAAAAAACACTACTTTCAGTGGCATTTGCAATCTTTTCTCACCTGCTCCTGTGCTGCATTCAACATTGGCTCCTGAATATCTGTGTACATACGTCGCAAGGCATTGTATCCACCCGGTATACTTTCCAGGTTGCTCAAGGCTCGGTCTTGGTTTCGCATCATTTCCTGCATCATTGCAGGGTTTCTAGCAAGTTCTAGTGTCTAGGGAAGTGGAACGTTTAATCTGTATTAATAAGAAATCCATTCTAAAGTGAAAACGTCAGCATTTGGCAGTATGTCAGCTACCACTGTCTAACCCAATTTCAATTTATGATTAAAGCAAAATCAAGATGTCAGCTTAATGGGAGTCAACTGAATTAGATATTTAGCCAGCATTCTACCACAACCATCACCATGCTGTCTGGGTCAGGAAGCACTGGCTAAACAGAAGACAAACCCCGAATGAACTATTCTTTTCTTTCTTCAACTTTCCAACACAATATACTACTAGCATTTGTAACATCATTACAACAGGCAGTCTATAACATGAACTTTAAAATAGATACCTACATTTTCAAAAGCATCTATTTATTTTTTGATACCATCTGCTACACAGCATGTCTTAAATACCATCTAATTTTAAAATCACTCAGAAGTACCCACAGTTAGATAAAATGAAAGTGTGTATTATTTTGGAGAATTACTACTTTTGGTGAATTTATTGTTGGCTAGACAACAGAAGGTTTCAAGTGCACACAGGGACATACAAGTCTAACCGCAGAAGACATGATCACACAGTCTTCAATGTCTTTCAAGACTATGCTGTAGATTTTCTGAATTATCAGTCTATTTTGGACATTACCAACTAGAGATACAAACATCAGTTGCCTACAGCAGCCTTTTATGGATTTTCTAAGAAGTCTAAATACTTCAAGGATGCTTAAGCACTCAATTAAGCATGTCCAATTCCTGCTCTGTTTTTCACAGTCACAGTACAACCAAAGTCATGAACTTGCAGAAATCTTTCTACATACCTGTCTCATTATATCTGGATTATTCAGCATGTGACTGATTTCTGGATTTCTCTGTATAAGTTGCTGCATTTGAGGGTTAGCCATAATTAACTGCCTCATCAGGTCAGGATTTGAAAGCATGCTCTGAACAAACGGATTTTCCATTATCTGAACCATCATTTCTGGGTTGGACATAAGTTGCCGCTGCATCTGACTTTGCAACTCTGAAAAGTTTGATGTATTTAAGCCCAGGCTACTCAGACCTGCCAAACCTCCAAGGCCACCTTGAAGAGGATGAAAACAACATAATTGAACTTTCAGCTTCTAATACACTTCTAAATACATGCAGGTTATCTCTGGTTACAAAATACTTGAGCATATCTCACACTTCAAAATAATGAAAACCCCACCTTTGCAAGGCTGTTAAGGAGTTATTCACTAGGAGTTTGCTTCTTTAAATCACAAGCCACATAACTAAAAATCCAATAAACTGCATCTGAAATATAACTTGTTACAATTCTAACAGCCTTTCTTCTCATGTTCCACAGCTAAGACACAAGGGATGTTTGAGTTTTTGAGCCTTAGGTTCGCCTCACCTCCAACACTTTCCAATGCGTTTAGAATAATCATTTATCTGTCTCCTCTTGGTTAGACTATAACCGAGAGAGATCTCCCACCATGACTCACATTCCCTATTCTAATTAAAAGTAGAGCTGCTGTTCTTACTAATGCACCAAGAACTACTTCTGCTTAGAATTCCCCTCCTTTGTTGAATCTAAACAAAAATTTTCAGAAAGTACTAGTCAGTCTGAAGATGCTTACACTTAAAAAATTGCTTATTGCTTATTATGGTTAGCTCTCCAATTCAACCTCCCTCCCACCCCATGAAAGCAAATGAGATGAAAAAGAATGAATGAAAAACTCCACTGTGATTATGGAAACAGACAGTATTTTAAAGTCAACAGACTCCAGCCTCTTCATTCACGAAAGAGAAGACTGATAATGCTATCAGACTTGGAACCTGAGAAATACTGAATTGTGAGATTAGAAGCAATTTTGTTGCTTCTGTTCCAGATCTTGGCTTCATGTTACAGGTACAACTTCATTAATACTCTCCTCACAGCAATTCAGATGCACTTTTATGGAGCATAAAGGACAATGGAAGCAGCTTCATTACCCATATTGCCAGAATATGACATCAGTGGCACCTTTCTACTGAAGGTGAAACAACACAGTCAGAAGTTCTGCATATAAAATTCAGGAAACAACTTTCCTCCGATAACTTATTGATCAGAAACCTACAGCCAATACCATAGATATTTGTAACCATTTTTAAAATTGTTTTCTTTTATAGTTCTGTTCACATTAGAATAAAGCTTCAGGGCAAATTACCTGAATCCATGAGAAGCCACCCACCATGCTACCTAACAAATTTTCTTACCCAAGCCAAAAGGGTTGCTATTTGTTGAAGCTGGTGTTGAGGTACTACTGCTTGAGGTTGATGTGGTAGAAGTACTCCCAGTGGTGCTTGCTTGCTGAGCTGGATAGTCTTGTGATCTAAAAAAACAATTTTAAAAGTCGCAAGTTTAACAAGTTCATTTAAATAATGCCATTAAATACAGAAATAGTGTCACGCTTGAGTATCTTAATTTATATTTTGGTTCTTTTTTTTAAAAAAAAAAAAAAAATCACACTATTATCTCTAGACGGCTTTCCATAATAGATCTTTCTCAGACATCTGTACAGTCATCAGTTTCTCAGAACAGTAGTTTGAAACATTAAGGAAATAGATGAGTACCACCGCAGCCATTACCACCACCTCACCCTGTCCCCAGCATGCCCACCAGTAAACTGTTTCAGAATCACAGAATATTAGGGGTTGGAAGGGACCTCTGTGGGTCATCTAGTCCAACCCCCCTGCCAAAGCAGGGTCACCTAGAGCCTTACCTTCCTTCAAGGATCCTTGCCTTCTTCCACTATACTCAAATACCACCGATTACATGCCTGGGGCTTAAAGAAATAAAGCCTAGAAAGATTTACTGTCAGATTTGTTTCACGCTACATCTTTAATAGGATGCCTTACTGCATGTGAAATTCAGTTAATGTCTTATTTCATTAGAAGACAAATATCAGAATCTCAATAGCCTTTAAGACTTGAAGAACAGAGTAAAAATGTAGTTACACAAAGGTAAAGCCAGCATAATTTAGCACAGGCACTGAAGGCTGTCCAAGTTATATATTCACCACACCTTTCCACTGCAGGGGCATAAACATGAGTGCTGCCATGTAGTAAGAGATCAAGCAACTGAGCTAGCAGAAAGCTAGTGTGGCCTCTACTGAAAAGAGGCTAGTTTGAAACACAAATCAGTTCACCAGTCTTCAACAATCAATCTCATAAATGACTGTATCTGCAGAAGTACAGGATAAAATAAGTTGTAGAAACTATGAGTTCAGACCTCACACAAAGCTTTGAGGATTCGACAGTACACTAAACTCCATATCCCAGTTCATCTCAGAGTACCTTTCAAGCTGTAATAAAATTCTGTGCTTGTTTCACTACAGCAAAGACTGCAAAAACAAACCAATCAACCAACAACCCCCAAACAAACAAGCAAGCAAAAACAAAAAAAACACCAAGCCTAAGAGATGCCTTAGGTCCACATGCTTCCCTGAGGTTTGAGTTCTCTGACACCAGACTAAACATCAGCCACCAAATCCACAGACAGAAACCGAAGGAGCAATAAAATACTTCGCACACCTCACAAGTTCTTTCACCAGATGATCAACACTAGCTTGTAAGTAGCCCATCTGCTGGTATACCCTGCTGATTTGACCAGTGTTCTTGTAAACAGGCAAATACAACACGGCATGCCAAGTCATGAAGGTATACAGTGCCATGGGACCAAATCATTTAAGTCCATAGTAATTCCTATGAACTTGGTTTCGTGTATTTTGATTTGTATTCCTTCCTTGTTTATTTTCAGGTCTATCAAAACACACTCATATTCTGTTGAATGAAAACCTGTTCTAGAGGAAACCTTCCAGACAGATGTTAACAATCCAGGAAAGTGAATAGCTGGATACTTGGCTTTGACATAAGCTGTCCTGACACAAGGCATCAGGTAAACTATGGGCTCCTGAGAAGAACAAGTATTAATACTCTGTAACAGTAACAGCAACTGCAAACTTTGAACACAAGGTGACTACCTTTAACCAAGCAGCTGTAACTTCAGTTAGGAAGATCATAGACCTTATACTGACCATGGACCTTCTGCAGGAGATGTCTGGTTTCCTTTGGTCTAGAAAACACATAAATCTTTCCTTCATAAGCAAAAGGAAAATAATAAGCATAAAAACCTATTTGGTTTTTCATCTGAGGAACTATTTTGAGAAGCAACTGTACCTCTTCCTGTAATAGACAACAAAGGTTCTCAAAGCAGGGCAGATAAGTAGACAAGACTGTAGTTTGTAGCGCTTCTATGGAAACAGTGGGTATATACCCTCAAGATAATGGTTTTAGCGTCAAATCTGGAAGCCTCAAGTCTTTGAGTGAGTAAAATTCCTGAAAAGTGCACATCATCTTTTATATCCACTTTGCCATTATGTTTCCTCCTGCTGCTTGTGAACAAATTATAGGTGCTGACTTGGGACTTCGTATTCAGAAATTCAATAGATCTTCACAGGCCATCGCTAATCACTCACTGCTACTCTTGATGCTGCACAGACCAGGTTACAAAATTACGCTGGAATTCTGTTTCATTCAGGAAAATGTATCACATAGTAATAAACTTATCTTTTTTCAACAAGGATTCATTGGGATATATAAGGATTCCTATTTGAAAGTTACACTTCTGAAAACGTTTAGAAGGGAAGATACCATCTTCAGATCTAGTTTTGGAAAAGAACTTTTATTTATTCAGATACATGGCAGCAACAATAGCAGCAACAGTTAGCAGAAAAGTAAATAGCATAGTGTAAAGTGATTGGGAGCAATCCAGTCTTCATACTAACGGCTGAAAATCAGTACTTGCCAGGCCATACCAGCAGGGTTAAAGTCTCGCCTTTTGGGTCAAGCACAAAACCCAGGTATTTGAGTAAGAAGAATATACGGATGGTTCAGGACAACGTTATATTTTCTCAAAGCTGATTTTCATTGTGCTGGCAGTTCGCTTTAGCAGGTCTCAGAAGCGTATTTTTAGTTTATTCAAGCAAAGCTAGTAGGTGAAAGCATTACTGCCTCATTTGAAGACAGGGTAGATACACACAAAGGATCTGTAGTTTTGTGTTTGTACTTCCTCATCTGAGACACGATTAAAACATTCTGAAGATAATGGTAATACAGTCTTCTAAAATTATTCCAAAAAGTGGGAGAGAGGGGAGACATGGATTGCGATGCTGACAGGACCGATGCAGGGATACCAAAAGTTCCCTAAAACCCACACGTGTCATTGTACATGGGTGCTCGTTTGGCCAACGGCAAACTACTAGAAGGCACAAGAGACTGGCACTGATACTTTGGTACATATAGTTATTGTGGGTCCAGCCTATAAACACTCTAAAGACTGTGCAAGTCAAAAGCATTCTGCTGTCACTACTTATGAAGCCTCTCTGGCACACTCAAGACTGCAGGCAATAGAAGCCAAGTCATGACAACAGCAGAATACTATTTTAATGCATGGAGCACAATAATGCAGTATTAGCTAATAATGTATACAAGATTAGGATGGCTATCAGGCTCAATTTCAGGGTAGAGAGACATAGGGCAGAGAAGGGAGAACTCTGCCAGTGCAAACAGGAGTGTTTTGACAGAGACAAGACTCCCAGACAGAGAAGACGGTCCAACCCAGATGTGACTACAGGATTGAAGACATCAATCTCTACAGGTGCCTACATTTAATGTTAATGCTACTAAAGTCAACAGGTGCGTGAATTTAATGCTAACGTTACTAATTGGCCTTTTTGACTTGCTGAGGCCTGAAACAGGAAAGTATATTTCTTATCTCTCCTAAGTTCGATGGTCTTTCTTTTACCATCTGACATTTTCCTACAGGAAGAGATCCTCATCACAAACAGGAAAGACTTAAGTAGAAGAGGAGCAAAGAACACTTTCAGTCTACAGCAACAAACACACTCTTGACTAAGCAAGCTAGATTCAACTGAGGGATACATTACCCTACTTTCCAAAAGGATTTTTCAGTTGAGCCTCTTCCTTCTGAGCACCTCAGAGGAATTAATCAGCAGATGATATGGCTCAACTGATGTAAATTTCTCACTGTCATTTTACAGTTGTCTCACCAAAACAAGAAAATCTTGGATTCCAAGTCTTTCTGTTCAGCCACATAAATTAGCTGCACTAAAGCAGCACTGTTATAAAAATTTGCTTTCCTTGTTTTACCAAAAGAATGAGCACAGATTTGCTAAAAGTACTCACTCATAAAAAGAAAAGCTGCACAATGTATCTCTATGGACAGTAAGAGCTGATATCTGAGAACTAAGGAGCACTCACAGCCAGCACTCAGCACTAAACCAAAAAAAGCTAGATAACAAAAAAGCAAGAGACTTGCATTTAGAAACATGAATCCAATCAAAATACAAGACAAACCAAAGAAAAGAGCACTGTAACTTCAGACTGCTGGTCTGCACTAGCTGTGACTAAGGAACTACATTCAGTCAAATCTAGGTTTGCCCAACAGAAAGCTGTCACATTAAGAATTCAGTGTATTTTTAATTCCAAGAGATAAACAGAAGATCATTCAGTAAGGTTACCTGTTCTGCGTTTTGATAACCAGGTGAACAGTGAGTCCATCATGAATTCCATGCTGAGTCAAAGTATCTTGATCTTTTAAAATTTTTCCAGCAAATATCAGCACAAGTTGATCAGTGTGGGACTTGAAACGCTTAGAGATTTCTTCCTTGAACTAAACAAAAATGTTAGTGTTATACATTTATGTAATTGACTACCGAACTGTAATTTTTTAAATGATTCAAGGACAAGCTATTTTGTTCATATGTAACCTATTACCCCATTTGCACTACACATTCTGCTCTACACAATCTAGTAACACTTTTTAAAGTTCTCAACTTTTTCTGTCCATAGCAAGATAAGAAATAGTTATTTCTTTTCTGTACAATAAAAATCAGAAGAGTTTCATATCTAGATCACTAGTTATGCAACTAGCAATAATTAAAATTTGCTTAAAGACTACTGTGGCTTCAAACAGGCACGCACCCATGACAGTAAATGTATACTAGTACATATACACTACTTATACATACATAGACTACAAAATATGTATATAATTTTATACTAAGAAGTATACACTAAAATATATATACAGACATCCCACACACTGAATCCATCCATTGCTGAAAGACTGAGAATGCAATGTCACAAGTACAATAAATCTGTCTACACTTTTACTGGAACTGAACAGAGAAGTATTCTCTCTTCTTAGACATATTTTTGCTATGTTCCATGTGTCAAAACCAGCATCCCTTTCCACACAGGCAAAAGTAACCTCTCGGGTTGCTCTGCTTTCTCATTCAATGCAAAGTATAGCTATACAAAATGCGTCTGCAGCCCAGTGCACGGTGAATAGCCACATTCTTCAGCTGAAATCATACCCTCATGAAAACAACTGAACATGCAAGCCCACTGTATACCTTCTTGCCTTCCTAGCCAATAATAACCAGGTTATGCTTTGACTGTGTTCTGACAGATTTATTAATCTCTAGAAACATGCTCTCACCAAAAGCAAAAGATTCACAAAACCTAAAACGGAACACATTTGAGAAAAACGCTAAGGAATTACTTGATTATAAGAATGCCAGATAAATATATTCAACAAGACTAGTCAGTAGGCCAAGCCTTATTAAAAGGATAGCAGGCAGTTACGAAGTCCTTCAGAAGTTCACCCTATTTAACATTTTAAAATTAAGTTGACCATGCCACTTTAAAAAACATCCCAAACATCTTAGAATTCTCACTCCATATAGGAAAGTAAAATATTAATATTGCAATTAGTTATTAATAACTACATTTTATAACATGTAGGACTAAAAGTAAAATCCCACTGTATTATGCTTTGAAGGTGAGTCTCTAATTGAAAGAGTTTGTAGTATAAGAAGAGAAAAAAAACAATTAAGAAAGAGAATCTGAGAGACAACCTAGGTAGGAAGTCCCTGTGTGTGGGTAGGAAGTTGCCCTTGATTAGTCAAAAGTCTGCTCACAGAGTTAGTTCCAGTTCTTGGGGAAACAACTTCTAAGTCAGCCTTTGTACCAGCAATATTTAGACTTGTAAGCATTACAGAAAGTCACGCAGTCCATTCCATCTGAAAGTGGCTTACTTACCCGAATTACTCCTGACATATCTATCTAGTTTGTTCTCTGAGGTCTTCAGTGACTTTTTTTCCTCAAGAAACCTATCCCAGTGTTTCACTATATTATTTCGTCATTGTCCTACCCACAATGGACAAAACAAACAGATTATTGCTCTCCTTAAAGGGTTGCAGTAATACTGATCTTTCCTTGAAGGTTGTGTTTTCTAATCCTATCATTCCCACCACTTTTTGGATTTCCAAACCCATTTACATAATTTCGTAAGTGTGGGGCTCAAAACTGGTCAAAATATTCCACATCAGCTCTTATCTACAATTAGTGGAACAACAGAATAAACCCCAGACCCTGAAAGCTATACTCCTATTTGTAAGGAAAAGTGAGAAGCCTGTGAGGGAAAATAATCATGTAACTGTGCCGACTTACTTAATTGCCGTACACTCTACACCCTTTTCTGCAGAGCAACCATTCAGGCAGCTACTTCCTGTTCTGCATTCTTCTGGTTAATTTTTCTTAAGGCGCATTCCAAAGTAACAGAAAATCAGCAGAAATACTCACAGTTTGGTACAAAGCTAATGTGTAAGGATAAAGAATTACCATAACATGCCAAATCGGAGAGTAATCTACCCAAACTCATTTATTATCATATTTTCCACAATATGTTGCGACAGTGAGATCCACACTTAATTCTCATCAGAAGGCTGATGCTGTATTATAGCAATATTCATAGAATCACAGAATATCTCAAGTTGGAAGGGACCCACAACGACCGTTGAGTCCAACTGCCTGCAGCACTACCTAACATTAAACCATATGACTACGAGCACCAGCCAGACACTCCTTTGCTCTGACCGGCTTGGTGCCGTGACCACTTCCCTGGGGAGCCTGTTCCAGTGACTGTCCATGATCTCAGTGAAGAACCTTTTCCTAATGTCCACCCTGAACACCCTGATGCAGCTTCACTCCATGTCCTCGTGTCCTATGGCTGGTCTGCAGCAAAGGATCATCAGTAGCTCCCCCTCCATCACCCTCCTTGAGGAAGCTGTGGACTGCAATGAGGGCACCCCGCAGCCTTCTCTTCTCCAAGCTGCACAAACTAAGTGACCTCATTTGCTCCTCCAAAGTCTTGCTCTCAAGACATTTCACCATCTTGGTTAGCTTCCTCTGGACATACTCTAATATTAGTTTGATGTCCTTCTTCAAATTGCTTTACCTTAAACCAAGCCCTGCCACACATATTTAGAAGATGCTATTTACCCATAAAGTCAAGGAAACAAAACATCATTTATAGAACATAACCAAACAGTGCCTAATACTACTTGTATATAGGCATGTCAAAGCCTATACACTTCCTTTTCCCTACCTGCATGTAATCCTATGTAGTTCATCTGCAAAAACAACACTGCAGTAAAATACGAACGCAACAGCCAATGCACCAGGGCCCTCCAAAACCACCTCTACAGCAACATACGTGCATGGTCCAAATGCACAACAGATCTCTTTCCAGCCGCAATAATAAAACTGCCAAGAATACTAAGCCAAATTTGGCTGAGGCATATTTACATAAAAAGCCTAACCAAGATGCAAAAAGAGAGTCAGGTGTCTTCATCAGCTTCACTTGCATTCAGCACAACCTTGGGACCTCAGGACCAGGCCATCTGTTTGACACTTCATTCACAGAAGACTACCACATAAAACCTAGGCCGCCATGCAAGATATTTTGCAAGTAAGTCTGTTGATCAGTATAACAGGCAAAGATACCACTAATAAAAGATTAGGTCTGCACACTATTTTTTTGCTGAGGCAGGGGAAAGAGAATGATCTAGATATTTGTTAAACAGAATTCTGGAAACATTTTCAATACATGTGGTTTGTTTTTTTTTCTTTAAATTTTCAGCACCTAATGTGTTGCTTCTGGGGGAAAAAAAAAAAATAAAAATCTAAAGTTGAGTAAGTTAGTCTTCAGCATCAACTGATCTCTGCCAATACTGGAAGACAATTAGGTTTAGGTCAGAGTTTGGCACAAGTCACTACTGTTTGCATGGTGAAATAAAGCCAGGGACGGTGGAAGAGAAGACTCTTTACCATCCTCTAGAGGCAAAGACCTATCTTCAGTATTCTCAGTCTCTCACTGTTGATAGTAACTGAACTGCAAGACCATTCCCCCACAGTAAAGGGGAAAATCCAAAATTTTCTTTAAATTCAGACAGTGAAAGAACAAGAGAAATGACTGGCAATCGCTCTACTGCTCCCACAGACCTTACCTGTGTAGTTTTTACAGGACACCCCACCGCCCTTACTGGCAAGAAGTAGTTTGGAAGATAAGGTGCTACAGCGCTATGGTAATGAAACACAGCATAAACAGTGAAGTCAGCAATCTCCATTTTCTCTTCCCTAAACAGAATCATAAACGTCAATCTAGCATGTATGGCCTCAGATCTTCAAATTAAACATACGCAGTCAACAGCAAAGCGAATAAAGGAAACGAGATTATGATGATGGGAATTAATACATATTTAGGCTGTTGTAAGAAAATAAGCTTTGTTATTATTTAAATCTTCAGTCGGTACAACTGAACTAAACAACACTATCGGTAAATTACAGTTAAAGTACTTTGCCAACTGGGAAAACCAAAAGCAGAAGCAGTTCAAAGTGCCACCAGCTGGAAATGACGAGTATCTCTGTCCAGTTCTTCTACTGCACTAACTCTTTTTATTAACATGTAACACGCCAAGCAATGGTTTCAGTTGATATGCTTTACTGTTCTAAAATACAAGCTTTACTTCATTGTACTAATACTAGGCATTGTGATATTACAAAGGTGTTCAGTTATATCTAAGCAGGATCTGAAAGCATCTGAAACTGTAAAAATAATGTTTCACCATATCTAACATCTAGCATATGCACAGAAACTAGTTAGTTGTACTCCTCTAGTAAATGAATACAATAATGTAAAATTATGTCACTTTTAGACATAATCTTTCAACAACTCAGAGAGAAGCAGAATGGAAATCAGACTGAAACACACAACTGATATCTAGACAGAGGCCTGGTTTCCCTAGGGAGAAAAGGAGAAAGCATTCTTAACCAGAATGAAATAATTCAATGTCACAGGCTCCTCAAAGCACGGCAACTTGTAGATTTAACATGAATTAGAGCAAATCTAAAGCTAGTCTTGTTGAGGCGCACCTTGCCCACATTACCACTTTACCTCAATTTAACTTGCTTCTATCAACTTTTTGTTTTCTTTTAAAGGACATGAGCAGTGTAATTTTTCACATTAAGAACACTCACCTTTTTTAGCAGCACACCAGCACTTCTTGTTTACACTCCTAAATTTCCACACCAAATATATTCACACCCCTTTAAAAATACAAAAAAAGGCTCCACGAATCAAGTTACAACTTCTGTTACACCTGCTCAACTTGATCGTCTCTGAAGGTTTTTGCAAGGTGTGGGTGGGCACCACAGTGTTGATGCCCAGTGCTGAATAAATGCATATTCCTACCTGAGCTTGTTAAAGTACACATTTTGTCACTGACGTGCGGAATCAAACTTCACAACTCAGAGTTATAAAGCAGGTATGTTTATTGTGGCGCCGGGTGCAAGGGGGATCGCTCCTCCTAACATGCACACCGAGTCACGAAGCACGCACCTATTTATTACAAAGCTTATCTAAGTAGGCTGGACTATTGTAATTATTTCTAAGAATTCATTATCATACTCCACCCTCCTTTAGCACTTGCGCAGTGTTGCCTGGTGGTCGTCTGTGGGGGTCTTCTGGATGAAGGCTCATAGTCTTCCTCGCTGTGTGCTTTCACCTTTGGCCCAAAAATTTCTGAGTTGTCTGTGTTGGCTGAGGCCCAAACCATAGAAACAGTTTCAGCTAGGGAGTTGCTTCTTACAAACATCAAAGTTCTGGTTATCAGTCCTTGTTTCTTTTCCTTGGTCTTCGAGTAAGCCTTGTTAGATACATTTGAGCCACAATAGTCCTTGTTTTTCTTCGTTAGTCTCACAAGCAGTCCTTGTTAACTACATTTGAGCCACAGCAGTCTTTGTTAGCAAGGTTACAAAGAACAGAACTAAACTAAATAAGTGTTTAATTCTTACTTTAACATAGATGCAAAATTATATAACAAAATTAAACTATATCTATAGCAAAATTGAACTAATTGGCAAATTCCCACATCATCACTGAACAAAGCAAATGTCTGAACACACATAAAGCAGAACAGCTGACTAAAAGAGCGACTGTTTGGCACTGTCACTTTGCAGAGCAGATCTGTACTCTAAACATTAACCTATTAACATGTGACCGACCATCTGACAAGTTGGCCTATGAAGGGCCTGGTAAAAATTCACTCCAAGCAAAGTAAAAATCTTAACATGCAAACTGTCCTTTGATATGTTACCACCATATAATGATTCAAAACCTTTTGCTGACTCACTCTATGACATCAAAACCAGCAACGGTAACAACTTCACTATCCATTCACATGACAAAGTGCTGTGAGAAAGGAATAAAAAGAGGAAAGCAAATCAATGAAAAATACTTTCCCAAATCCTCTCAATCTTGGCTTAATAAGAATATTTAAAAATTAAATTACAGTAACAAGTCTAAAAGAGGCCTCAGGGAATTAACATCCAGTTCCCACTGAAAAGTAACAGAAAACCAGCCCCTAAAAACTGCAACTGCTTTGAAAATACTAAGCTACAACTTTATTCAGATGACAATAAAAAAAACAAAGTTGCTGACTCTTCCCATACCAAGCTCTGTTTTAAACACCGTAGTGGATGACATGGAAGCAAAGATTTGTATCTAGAGGGCTGAACTGCAGTTTACATTCCCAGTAGTCTCCCAGACAGTTCTGCTACAAAGAAAGATTTTCATTACCTTGTTCAGCACCGCTGCCTCCAAACACGCTCATAATCATTTAAACTTTCAACTGCCATTCCTATCAACATATACAGTTAAGCATATTAGCTGGACTCTAGTCTGTCTTACACCCACGCCCAGCAGCTTCAACGGAGGC